ACTCTTAAAATTACATTAAAGAAAATATCTACAGTTGTTTACAAATTGCTTATAAGATCAACTATCATCAGAATTGTTTGTGAATGGCTTATAAGATCAACAACTAGCAGAATGGTACAAAATAAAGGGGCGCAAAAAAGCAACATAAAGTCAAGTAAAGAACTCAGAATTATGACTAAGTGGTTAACCACAACACGTCACGTTTGTCACTCTGGCTAATTACTAGTGGAAACAAGTGTTACACAATTGTAGCGCTAAGACCGTCTACACAAACTTGCACTTGACACAAGATGCAAGTCTTAGCGCTGAAACAGTGTAGTCTCTCAAACGTAATGAATAGTGCAGTACATGTCAATAAACAAAGAACAAACCCAAAGATGTGTCAAGGCTCTGAACCACATGACAAACATATTAACAATCAATCATCACTGACTAGACTTTCAAGGCTTGACTGAAGGCACAGAACTGAGTGAAGTCTGACGCTGATCTGGCTCACTACTCAAGTAGTGTAAACACCCATTGTATGGTTTTAGTTAGTGTAATTAAGGCGTCATGTATGCTGAAGTTTTCTGTTTTGTTTCCACATTTTCCTTTTTTAGTTAGCTTAAATGTTTGGTTACGGAATAGTTATGGAAAATGTTTGGTTTTGATTATTTCTTTGTTTTGGCGACACTCTTGTTTTCCCCCCGTGTTTGTATTTTCTTGTTTTATTTATATGGTTTGTAACTTATACACTGCGCTCTCACTAATAAATGAGACTCATTAGTAAGCGTCTCATAAGGCTATTTGCACCCACTGCTACATTGAAATCTCACTTAAATGTTGCGCAATCATCCCCTTTATAACATCAAGCGTGTAACAGCCCCACATACAGAGCGGAGGATGTTTGAGTGGCCAGTTGCAGATGTTAGTTAGGTATTGAAGTCAAAAAGTCTCCACAACTATAATGACAACACCTACTACATAACCACAGCTTGTTTGCCATATAAAGACTTTGATGTCTTCAAAGAACATATTCATGCATCCACAGTTTGCCAGACATTGCTGGAACTTTCAACTGGACTGGACCCTATAGTCAAATGAGACAAAAATAGAGCTTTTTGAAACAAAACCAGAGATGGATTTGGTGTAAACAAACCTAGCATTGAAATTGAATGGAGGAATGGTCTCAGTGTCACACGATGAACTCAGAAACTAAGAAGAGCTGGATCCAAGTGCAGATTAAGATTTATTATAATAATAAGCCATATACAAAATCAAAAACCCAGGAAACAAAATATGGGGAAACAGAACTGAGCACACACACACAAGATGACCATGAATGGACAAGACCTGACAAGGAAGACAGGAAACACTAGAGCTTATACTGTATACACAAGGGCAAACAAGGTAACAAGGAACACCTGGAGAAAATATCAAGATGAACAAATCAACAATGATAGTGCGAGATGAGATTGAAGATGACCTGGAGATCAGTGGTGCAGGAAACCACCAAAGGGGCACAGGGGGACTCCAGGGAGGAGCTGGCAGAGCAGGATAACATCAGGGAGAGCCGGCAAAGCTGGAGATCACCAGAGCAGGGGGCCAAGGTGGAGCCGGAGGAGTAGGAGACCAAGGCAGAGATGGAGATCACCACAGTGGAGCTGATGGAGCATAAAACTAAGGCAGAGGTGGAAATCACGGTGGAACTAGTGGAGCACTGAGCCGGAGACAAGGTGGAGCCGGAGGAGCAGGGGACCAATGGCGCCGCTGGCTCCACCGCGGCCTCTATCTCCACTGGCACTGAGACCTTTCCCCCTCTCCTTCGCCTCCTTGGAGCCTTGTTGAGGAGCATACATGAGGGAGCCTCCTCTGGCAATGGAGTGCTGGGAGCTGTACGTAGCCCACGGTGTAGATGGAGGAACTGAACCGATAGAGCATAATTTATGAATTGTTCCTGAGAGCGAACAAACTTGTCTTTTGGTAAACAGAACTTAATCGGCTCATTAAGTCCAACCCTAAACAAGGCCTTCAGCACCTGTTCCTCCCAGTCCACACTACAAGCTAGGTCACAGAACACATTGGTGTAGTCTTTTATAGATCTGGTCCCTTGCCATAGGCCCACGAGTCAAACTGCTGAATCCATATTATGTGGTCTTCTGTCACAAGGATGAACTCCAAGGAGAGGAATGAAACCAAAGAGAGCTGGATCTAAATGCCGATTAAGGTAATTATATTAATAAACAAAATCAAAAACCCAGGAAACAAAATATGAGAAAACAGAACTGAGCACACACACAAGACCTGATAGGAAACACTAGAGCTTATAGTGTATACACCGGGGGTGCGTCTCAATCAGCTCCCTAGTTCAGTAGTCAGGGCACTGATCAGGGAGTCGGCCATTTTAAGAGCTGACTCAATCGCGAAATCCTTCCAGTGGACTGGAACGTTTGCTCCCTGAAAAATCCCACAATGCACTGCAAAAACTAGGGAGCATCGTTGCTCACTATGCTCCCTTACCGGAAATTACGTCACATTACTGAAGCGCGCGAAACATAAAGCACATGAGCCAACTCTATAAATATAATGACACGCGATAGAAGATTTGAAAAGACAAACCATTTTAATAGTATATTACAACATAAACACACATCGCTAGACAGGTAATGATCACATCTTGTTAACATTTATAATTAATATTCGGCTGAAATGTTGTAAGAACGTAAAAGAAGAATGTGTTTAAAGTAATAATATATAATTTTATATAAAATAATAATAATAATATAAAAAAGAGATTGGTCCTGCCTGATGTTGATTAATAGCAGCGGTGACATTCTACAATGTTGTCCATTAACGTTGTACGTAGTCATGTCACCGGAAATTGAGTAATCACTGTCCCAATGTGCAGTGAGCCGGGGAAAGTACCAGTGACCGAATTTGTGTACACGATATTCTGATTCACGAGCTCGGGAGCTAGGGAGCTGATTGAGACGCACCCAGGGTCAAACAAGGTATCAAGGAACACCTGGGGAGGCAATCAAGATGAACAAATCAGCAATGATAGTACAAAGAGGCTACAAGAAATTCAACATAAAAGTCCCAACCAAAAGTAAAGAATATGTAACACTCAGATCCCTTGTCATGTCTTCTCAAAGATTAATATGTACTGTAGAAGACACGTAGTGTTGAACGAAGGGGTGCCAATAATTGTGGTACAAAAAACTGTATATTTGAGAAAACATGTTTTATGATTTTTTTTTTCTTTTAATTATTTTCAATTAAAGGTTGGGTTTTTGAATGAACATTTTAAATAAAAGACTAAGAGGAAGAGCAAAGACATGGGTTGGCAGATGTTTTATATACATGATTTTTTGGGGATGGACAACAGCAGCTGGCCTGTTGTCCAATGTCTGAGTTTGTTGTTCCTCTTCTGTTTGGCAACATCATTGTACTGAATTGTGCAGCATCAGTAATCTGGGAAATGTGACCAAAATCTGGTCTCATTGGTCAGTTTTCTTCATTGGCTCTTCTCCAGTGTGAAGGTCCTAAACAATCCTTTTTCTCAAAGAACTTTTGCAACAAATATTCAGTCTTGTTGTGAATAAACGTACAGTAGGCTATTCAGTGGTAGAATGAGTCAAGAACATTTGACGTGTTTTGGTGCCTTTTGGAAATTAAATTAGGTAAATGTCTAGCTGGTTGTTGAAAAAAAAACAACAACAGCTGTTTTGAGTTTTTATGAAGTAGACTGTATAAAGAAATGCATGTAACCAACTGTAAGAAACTTTTGCAAAATTATTGTTTAATTTTAGCCACAAGGGGGAGCAGTGGAGGAATTTGTGTGAAGTAATCAGATGGTAAATGTGGAGAAGTCTTTTCAGCATGTCCTTTTGTCCAGAAAAACCTTTCATTAAGATGGACACATTGTTATTGTTAGTGTTGCTGACACTTTGCACTGGATGGATATGCAACATGACAGAATGTCCCAGTCTGTCATAATGCTTATTCGCCACATTATTTTCTTTGCATTGTTATAACATTTTATTTGTATCGGACACACAAGAACACCAATACAACCCAATTAAAATATGATTGGAATGTGCACTACTTTTTAACATGCTTAATGCTTGAAGATATCATTTTTTCCATCATGCTTTTTGTTTTCAAACATTGTAGTAATTCCATGCTATAGAGAATGTGATAGATTTTGGAAGGCATGTTTTCATTAGGAGTTTAATTTACTCACATTATTCAGTATATCCATGATTAGACCTTTTGCTAGTATAGTATGAGTACGGCGATGGAGTTTTGGAAGCTGACAATGTCTTACATTCCAAAAATCTAATGTTGCTAAACAACATGGTATGATCTCATTGCATTCATTGTTATAAACTTTACTAGAAGGAAATACCACCCCCCTTTTAATCAAAGTGTAATGCTGAGACAATCAAAATTTATGTCATCATCAAATGACTATCCAAACAAACAAGGGCTCTGTTTCCGATGGCAGATTTCAATTGTTATGAATTCGTTATGCTCACAAGATCTCCTTCAAACTTCAGCCAAGGTTTGGTTTTCAATGAAGAAGTCAAGTGACAAAAAAAAAAAAAAAGCCTCCTCCATGCTCTCCACAAAGGCTCTGTCATTTTGCTCTCTGCATTTCTAACCTTCCCCCATCCCAAAACATGATTATACACTGCTCTTTTGGGGAGGGGAGGGATGGTGGGGGTATGGGCACACTGCCTTTCCCCAGTGGACCCCTCCCCGGGCCACTCTCTTCACAGGGGCCTTTGCCTGAGGACGGCTGCGGCGTGCCATGTGGGGAGGCCATCGCTGCGCCTTCTGTCTGTAGGGGCTCCTGTGAGCCTGAGAGAGGGGAGTTTAAGGTTCTGGCAGGGGTGGGGGAGAGCAGGGTTTGATAGGGAGGGGTGCGAGAGAGGGTAGGGGGTGGGAGGAGTCCGGGAACTGCTATTTGTAGACCCTTGTGATGGATTACTGCCGTGTGTGTGTGTGTAAGACAGGATAGAGATATTTTGTTCCTGTGGTGTTCCGTATCCCCCTTTCTTCAGGCAGACGGCAGAGTGCTGCTGAGCAAAGCAGTGAGGCAGGAGCGCCTTACACACACAAGAGGCAAAGCAACTCCTCCAAGAAGAGGAAAAGGAGAGTTTGTGCACAAAGTGAATCGTGAGAGCGCAGGAGCCGCTTTTTTTTCTTCTCACGTTCTGGAAACGGGAGAGCACTAGCCTGAGCGCTCGCGTCTCAAAGCGTGCGAGATCATGCCTGCGAGAGGAGGACACTCTGTAGGCAGACTGGTGGAGGTGTGTATCCGGATACTGCTGCTGTGCAAGGCTGCCACAGCGTGCCCTGCGCTCTGCACTTGCAGCGGCACCACAGTGGACTGCCACGGGCTGGGGCTCAAAACCATGCCCAGGAACATACCCCGAAACACAGAAAGGCTGTGAGTAGACACTTTACGTCCATCTGCATGTGCGTGCCTGCATGTGAGTGCTTGGGGGGGGCTGCATCATTACCAAGAGGAATTGAATGAGAACAATAGCTCAATGAGGCACAGGTACAATCAGATGTTATCGGCACGGATGCGTCCGTATGTTGACACATGCTGCAGGAGGAGGGAAACTTCCTATCACTCTTTCAGCTGTTGAGAACTTTCCCTTTTCCTTTCGCTCTTCTGAGTCATTTTATAGTCACTTTCAAATTAGATATTTGGGATGAAATATTTACTGAAGGAGCCTTTTTCCCCCTAAGGTTTAGTAAATGCTGCTCTTAAAATAGTTCAGAGGAAACCTCTGATGAATTATACATGTCAGAGAAGCACCAGAACCATTTTGAAATTTGAAGGAATTCACATTTGAAATTGTGTGGATTTCAAGGACCAAGAGGATCTAGTTTACTAGAATAATATACTGTGAACTACATCATCCACAGTGAGTGTTTGGTCAGATTTCTGTTGCTCATCGCGGGGGGGGGGATCACCTCTGCTTTCCATCAGTTCCCGTGCAGTCTCTTTCTTTTCCTCTTCTTTACCTCTTTCTTTCACATCACTTTCACCTATCTCCTCCTCTTCCTCAATCTCTTCCGACTGCTCCATCTCCTCCTCTTCATCATCCTCTTCGCTGATACTTTCAGCTCTGTCTCGCCACTCCATATTGCTTCTTCTTTCACCATCCTCAGCTCCATCCCCCCCCCCCCCCCCCCCCCCACCCCACTATTTTAGGTCCTTATCAAGTCAAATACATTACAGACAAGGCATGGCTTAGGAGTGATTATGTATTACTCGACTCATCGACTAATACAGACAGTGTCTCAAGTACTTTTACAAGGCAGGAACAGCCGTCAGTGTCCACATGGTCAAGGCTCTGTGTTCAGTTTGGAAAGGCTGATGGTTGGGGGTGGATCAACTAAACAATTCAATTTGCACTTGTCATAGGGTGTTTCTATCAAATAGCACCTCTTGGATGTCTTTGATGGATTCTGTAATGACTATGTGTTCAGGAAGTGTGAAAATCACACTTCTACCCCCCGCTTCTCCTCACCCCACAAGGTTTCCCCATTAACCTGCGGTTCAGAGCTAAAACACATGCTCACAGACCATCACCAAATCACCAGACAAACATTTTCTGGCTTTCTGCCTGGGAATGTGGCTTATGTAAATATACGCATATGTGCCAGAGAACTAGTAGTAAAGGTGTAGAGAAAGCTGCTCACAGGGGTTACGCCATTAACAAAGTGCGTGTAAAAGTGAACGCCCCCCTTAAGCAGCTCTCTCGGCTTTCTGATGTGCAAACATCATGTGTCCAGCGTATGAGTTCAGTACTGTTTAACGTAGACAGATTTTTTCATGCTCTGAGACGCATCAGCTCTTTAAATGAATAATCTCAGTCATTTTATATGTACCCTGCATTCATTTTCAGACGTCCAGAGACTCGACCCTTCTTATTTTATCTATGCTAGTGCATCATCTATTTATACACACTTCGGAAGCCGCAGTGCCTGAGATCAAACGGCGCCGATGTGTCAAGAGTGAGTGATCTGATTGAGAATTCTCTTTAAACTGCAGCGATCGCTCAGAGTATTGGGCCGCTCGCGTATGAACTCCAGCTCTGATGTGCTCAGGAATGCAAGCCAAATGTCCCAGTGTGCTTCCTACTGATTGCTTATTGATTGTCTTGAAAGTGGACGGCAGCTCAGATGGAGAAACACTAGAGGCTCTACTGCTGGATTCCGGTGATAAATCTCGTAACCAATATAAGATTAGCTCGTGAATGTAGAGCTTTTATCTTGTGAGAGGTCTTTGTGATGGCAGTCACATAGTGGCAGAGATGTGTATGATCATGTGCTCTGTCTAGTGGGGAAGAGCAGGCATGTAGTGCTGCTTTGGTTCCATGGTAGTAAATTTAGAGTCCAAATGTAACAGAGAAAATGCAATAGCTTGTCATTCTGTGCAAATGAAACCAATGCTTTGGGTTTCCCCAAATGTCAGGGCGGCCCTTGTGAAAACCTCTACCTGAGAAGGTACCTTGCAAACCATTGAGAAGAATTGGGCTGCTTGATGGATCAGACTTATTAAAGCTCCATAACTGGCCCACCTGCATTATTAGAGCATCAAAGGGTTTCCATGAAATGTGCTTTTTTTCTCTCTTTTAATTATTTAGCTGGATAACGAGCGGTTGCTTTTTTTCCTAACTCAACTGTGTTATGGCAGAAATGGTTGTGGCACTTTGCCAGTAGTAGAGTTAGCTCTTTAAACCCACATCACAGTCAGGTTTTTAGTGGTCTGCATGAACTGTAATGAGCGCTTTATGTTTTGCTCATTCAGGGACCGTGTTCATTAGAGCATAATCGACTGTGCTTGATGACTTGCATACATTCCTTTAAGGTTTAGATTATAGAGAAGCAGTAGTTTTTTTAAGACCATTTAAAAGAATACAACGACCTGATTGACAACACAAATACTGCAAAAACAGTGTTCCATTTTACAGTGTATCAATGGAAAATGTTTGCATAATGCAATTTTGGGTACTGTAAATTAAAATGGCTGGTTGCATTTATTTATTTTTTTTCTTTAATGTTCATCACTTTTGTCTACATTGGTTTATAAATAAACCAGACTTGAGACCATTTGCATGGCTGTAAAAGGTGAATCTCTGCAGTGCAGCAAACCTTAACAAAGTGATCAGAGTCACAAGTGTTTTCACAGGCATATTTTAAACAAGAAGACTACTAAAACTAATGTTAGTCATTTAAGCCACTCTTCTTTAGACAACAAAGCCTTCCTGGGTAGAAATACTCTTTGATCATAAGCAGTAACCTGTGAGAAGGGTTTATTTAGGGTAAGCACATATGGTTAAAAGGTTTCACATTTTTTACATATTTAGTTACACATTTGTGTAGTGCATGACTTTAGAGTTAATTGATTGCTAAAACCTGTTAGTGCATTTGAACTTTCCCACTTGCAAGTTGCAAATAAAATAAAGATCAATGGAGTATGTTTTACAAGGAAAAAAATTCAGTCTTTCTACTTCAAAAAGTTCATGTTTAATTTGCAATAATGCACAACTTGCAGTTTCTTTGTAATTATTTGTGAAATGTACTAACAATATCTGAGTAAAAAAGTAAATCGTACACCAGATATTTTTCTGTGTGGGATGTGAACCCAGCAGTCAGTCTGATGACTGATCTGGAAAAGGATCAATGCTGATGCTTCTGATCAGCTTCCAGGGTTTTAACTGAGTCTCCTGAAGGGATGTGAGGCCTTCATCAGGCCTAATTACCCATCACAAAACTTGACTTAGCCCAATTATCTTATAAGGATTTTTAAACCTTGTATTAAGATGTGTTTAGGTCAATCTGATTGCAAGTACAACTAAAGTTCAATGGAATTGTCAATGAGACGTTTTGGCATTGAGATTTGGCATTGGACAACAAGTAGTGACCAACACATTTGAGCTGAATCTTACTTGTTAGACCCAACAAGGTAACTCAACTTAACCTTACATAGGTTTTCGTGAATGTGGAAATATTACACAGCAAAAGAGATATGAAGCATTGCTTTTGTGAAGGAGAAGTATACATTAGAATACTTTAAAAAAGAGTATTTATAACAGAAATAATAGTTTTAAAACAATATACTTAAGTGCAAAATGAATGCAATGTTTTTGCATGTTATGTACAATTAAATGATAAATTATTATAGTTTCAATTTATATAAAATGCAATTGCTTGAACTTAATATGACCCACCTGAATAGGACTTAAGTACTTAAGGACTATGGACTTAAATCTTTATTTGTAATTTCATCCTTTTTTTCTATTGTCTTAGGTCATGGTTAATTTATAAAATGGCAAATTAAAATATACTTCAACATAATTTTTGTTGAAACTTGTATGACGCATTTAAATATATATTCATATTATATAAATACATACATATATATATATATATATATATATGTGTGTGTGTGTGTGTGTGTGTATTCAATTACACATTTGTAATGAAGTTGCAGTTTAATTCATTTAAACATATTAATTACATGTAATATCAAATAACATACTAGTTAAAATTATAAGTCCTGTACATGTGATTTAGTAAGTCAACACATCTAAACAAGACAAAAGATGATTAAATGTGCTTTAATGTCTGAATGTAAATGTAAATGTAATAAGACACTACTGAGTCTGATATATGAGACAGTTCTTGTACATGTACATTTTTAGGCTTTTTAAAGTCAGCTGGTTTCTTCTTGTGGAGTCTTCTCCTCAGTACATTTGCCACCCGCTCTTAAAGAAAGAGAAACCAGAAAGGCTGAACTCCAAAACAATGATACGCAGAACATTTACATATCAGGAGATCCGGCCGTGGCTGATGAATAGCAGCCCATTATTTATTTGGCTGTGCCTGTGCACCTGTGCATACATCTGTCTGCAATCTCTCCGTCTCTGTTTTGCTGCGCTCCCAGGAGTGGTCATTAGAACCAATAGAAAGTGCATGACTTTGTATCCAGTATTCATGGGAGATTTGTGCGAGTGTGTGTTTCTCTCAGTGATTGGGGAAGAGGTTTACAACAAAAAAAGAAACACATGTTCCCAATAATGAGCAGACATTTGCAAAGAACCCACACAGTATTTTTCAGCAGCAAGCTTCTATATGTAATAATATTCTGACTTGTCATGCGTTATTCAGTCAATTCCGACTCATTGCACATCAATTTATAAATTTTCTTAAGAGATGAAATCATACTGATTCACCTTGCAACTGTTTTGCATCTTCTTAGTTGTGCTTGGTTATGTTTTATGTGTTAATGTCCAGTGATTCTTGTATTGTTATAGTCGGAAATTTGAAAAGCTGTGGTGTGTGTATATATTGCATATACAATTGTTTGGTTTCTGACACTTGTTGCGCATAAGTCATTACAGCAATGTTGTATCTATACCTGGGCTGACAATAGATTTACCCTTGACTTATGTTTCTTTTTTTCAGGGAATTGAATGGAAACAACCTCACACGCATCAACAGAAATGACTTTTCTGGACTCAAGTATCTTCGAGTTTTGTAAGTTGTTTTACATGTAATATAACATCATTTCTTTCTTTCTTTCTTTCTTTCTTTCTTTCAAAAGCATGTAATATAGATGTTTTTTTGAAGTGTTTTTTGACTCTCTGTTTGACATCTTCAAACTCTCATGGGCAGACAAATATCCTGACACTGCATTATAGCCAGTTTGTCCTAAATGTCTTTCCAAGGGAACTCTGTGCAGATATTTCAGCATTCACACTGTTTGTGCAGGCAGAGCAGTGCTGTGCAATGAAAACACAAGCATGGGCCCTATTATTTAACTCACAATATTAAATCACATCAAAAAGGCACCATGAAACTATTTATCAGCACTATATTTTGCAATGTAGGCTTTTGTAAAGCAAACACTGAGTGAACTACTTACCCACTGTTTGAAAAAAAAAAGACATCTATCAAACTCAATGCAATGAAAGACCCACAAATGGCACTTTGTTAAGACGATTTAAGCAGTTTATAGCTACACTATAAGGCTTTTTTTGACTACCTTTTGGATGTAAATGTGCTCTTCCTCGTATTATTCTCTTGACAACAATGTTTGTTACTCAGGTCAACATCCTATAAGCATTTATTATTTTATTGCCTGTAAAAAAAAAAAAAAAAAAAAAATCCAACTTAAATTTACTTGTAAACAACACACACACAAGCAAAGACATTTCCTATACA